TCGCTGGCGACGTCGCCAGGCTACCTCGTGTAATAGGGGCCTTAGTTCGCCTACATTCGGCGATAGTGTACTGCAGGCATTAAACACAGAGGTAGAGTAGCGCCGGGTTTGACAGATGGAAACACGTGGATCAAGCATTGGAGGGGTGAGAAGCGGTGCTGAGAGGGGGATTTCCGGCGAGCTTCCCCGAGCTGCCGCTAGACGCCGGCACCGCACAGTGGTAATTTTTAATTTGCAGAGTTTTCCAAGATTACTCTTTTCGAATTAACCAATAATGATAGCTACGCACTCTAAACGGATTATAGTAGTAAAAAGACCAATCTATAGTTCTGCGTTTTTAAAATTTTCAAATAACGTTTTTTAAATAAGTTACGGCTAGTCGAAAAGGCCCTTTTTTCTTGTAATAAAACTCAAGTTTATAAGGTGTGTAATAAAGATAATTGAAATATAGAAACGCAGAACTATAGAAAATTTCATCCTCTTTAATATGAGACCTTAAATTTGATTCTATCTTCAATGTAGCAGGTGAAAAGAGAAATCTTGCAAACCCTTGCATTCGGTTGCGCGTCAGGGGTAAAGCGCGCCCTTAACAGGCAGGCCTACATAAAACAGTTTTACCTAACATTAAATATTCAAACAAAAGCGAGACTGGGGCTAGGATAACACATATGAAACTCAGCCCTCAAAGCGTCATTTCAACATCCACTCCCCTTTCCGTTAATCTTTGCTTGTAACATTTGGAATTTCAACTAAAACTAAGTATTTTTTCCGATATGTTGAGATTTTCTTCATCAATGTTATGTTTAGTCTAGAAGAGCTTTTGATACAAGAGTAGAACCCCTCATATTCAGCTTGGAATTTTGGTCCTCGCTTTATCTGGCCAAATCATTATCTGGCCCAGATTTGGTTCTGAGGAGGTTGAAATGACGGGTTTAACTGTCTTACGGTTTCAATACTGTAGGTCAGTTTTATCAGGCATTAGTATATTTCATTACTAGCACCGAAAGTGGCATTTTTCCCATGTGCTGCTGCTTAATTTTCATGTACGAGGCAAAGCCAAACCCAGGAAAACCAAATTTCACATGCAAGGCTAAGCTGAGTATGTGAGAGTTATTTTCATGTACGAGGCATAGCGAAGGACGGGAATAATTGAGCAAGTGCCTGATAATAGCTTTCGGTATGAGTTATGAACGATACTTTCATCACAACGCGAAAATACACAAATGCAGAAAAACATACATCAGCAGCATTACAATAGTTTTAGATCACTCTTTATCAGTGAAAAACTACTTTACATCGTATATGCTTTTATGATTATTCATTTTTTTAGATAACCATATTAATAACTACTTTGTCAATTACTTTATTTCGTTTAACATTTTGTCAGTTGTACCAGTTTGTAAACTTTCTGTTTTCCTCTTCATATCTTTCTCCTAATTTCTCTGGTGGAAGGTGTTCAGTTATCTCTCAAGCTTTTGTCATGAAATCATAGGAATGCTAGACATATTTTGAGCAATTTCAAACACGCATTATGCTAAAAGTAAAACACAGCAAAACAAACTAATGCCTGTTTCTGCATAAACTTAGATCGTGCAACAATGAAAAAAGCTGATTTAAATCATTAAAATAAACCGTAACAAAACCTTGGCGTGCGTAGTGGGTACATGGAAAACTAATCGAGGGCATGGGAAAGTAAATTTAGGGTGAGGGAAAATCAACTGATAGTTTTTCCCTCGCTCTAAATTAAAGCTTGGGAAACAACAATGTCAGCTGTTAGCTGTTATATAAAATAGTTACTTTTGGCGCGGAGTGATGAAAAAATTGTTTTAGTGTTGTGTACGTGGATTTTGGAATGAGATTGGCTTTTATCTATATTAACCAGGGCTGTGTGAATCAAGACATTTTGGGTTGAATCCGAATCATAACTTCACAGCTTTTTTCGAATCAGAATTTTGTAATTAGTCCTGAGTTGGATGGGAGTAGAATCCTAATCTCAAATTTACAGCTGTTATCAAATTTTTTAATCAGTTGCAGTTCCAAGTTGAATCTGGATCTACACTTTTTTTTTGAACTTAGAGTGGAATTCACTTTACAGGTTACTATTAACACATTATTGATGTAAAAATTATTTACTCAGTCCTGTAACAGCTGTCTATGTAATTCTGATCATTGCTATGTTTGTTTTATTAAGTTGTTGTGTAACTAACTATCAGTTTATTAAAATGGCTCTCTAACAGTATTATATTTATTTTATTCTACTATTAAATCAGTTCATTAGAACACACATGAATAACAATAAGACAGAGAAATAGTTACGGTAATCTGACATCCATTTTGTCATACTGATGCTTTCCCATCAAGTCAATCCAATATTCCAGTTCCAATCCCAATTCCAATTCGGTTCAATCGACACTGAACAAGAAGCAAGAAAACCCAACCATATCTGCCATTTCGTTCTCTGTTGATTCTAAAACCGACTAACGTAACAACTAAAACTGATTTGAGTGAAGTGAAAACGCAGGGAGTGTAATTCAACGACCGGCCCTAAGAGTCGATTGTCGATCATCCATTAACTGCTCGATAATAATCCGCTTGCAAAACTACAGGTGCGATATACAGTCTACCGAAGAGAAATAAATATTGCTGGGTCAGCCGTCAGTTTGTGCTGTAGTGCTTTCGTGTCAAATCTTCAAATGCTGGAACCGAATCATAACCAGACGATGAAAATTTTATTAAGACCGAACCCGGATCTCTTTCTGGTAAATTTGAATACCGATTCTGAATACAGTTAGAAACAGCAATTTTCTCGAATCTCTAATAAGATTCGGATTCCATTCATTTTCTGAACCATTCACACAGCCCTGAATTGGGTATTTACTCAGGGGAGGTATAGAAGAGGCTACGATGACAGCTGTGGGCTTCTTATTAGCTGAGGGAACGTCATTACCATAACAATACGATCTATATACATCGGCCTCGGTGGGCTGGTGGTTAGCGTGCCGGTCTGATATGCCGAAGGTCCCGGGTTCGAATCCCGCTGGTAGCATTAACTTTTTGTCCAAGATTTTTTCATTATCAGCAAGTTTGGTTCGGTTATGACATTTTAATTTTATTATTAAGTCATTATAAAATTTTGATTGAGCAATTTCTAGTTTTATTTAATAAACAGAATTATTATTTTTTCTATTACTAAACTTTTGTTATATTATTTCATTATCAGCAAGTTTGGTTAGTTCGTTTAGGTTATGATAGTTTAATTTTATAATTAAAAAATAATAAAATTGAATTTGAGGCATTTATAATTTTATTTTATGAACATAACTATTTTTGCAATTAGTAAACCTTCATTGCCAAAGTGCTCTCTACTACAGCGCTGTTCACGGTGGAATTTTGAACTAATGCCTCAATCGTACCTCCCCTAAGTCAGACCCCCTGAATTGATGCACATTGCAGATTATCGAACATAAAAATAGCTTAAACGAACCACATGACTAAATGTGTGTCAGGGCTTAAATTGCTATTATAGTACACTGTTTGATTAATTATTAAATTTACTCTTTGTACTACCCCACGGAAAAAAAACCCTTGATCTTACCATGATAACTACAATAACTAACTACCAGCAGGAAAATCTACTAAAAGACTGTACAAAATCAAGAGGAAATAAAGTTATAGCATGAAAGATATCTGGAAACAAGCTATTTGGATAATGTATTTACAACTTCTTTTTCTGTACAAGAAATTGGCTTATAAAATTTGTATAATTGCATCGGAAAATCTGCCAAAAGAAGCTCTTAAAAAATGAATGTTCTAATTTACACATTTGAGGTGCATGGTAACTCATGATTAATTTCATTATTTCATGCAAGTTCTTCTTTGTAATAAAATTTGCATGAGAAATTGCATCTGTATTTTATCAACTCTGCAATAAATTGTAATTGCTAAATTCACTCTATTTTTAACAACGTAACATAAATTGTAACAGAAGCTGAATGTTTGAACAGGTGTTAATGACAAAGTGGCCATACAACCTATGCGTCTCTTCCTCATGACTGTATGTTAGAATATTCCCAACTTTAATAGCTTTTACCTACGACCGGTTTTATTTAATAGCCATTCTATAGACATAGTTTTTAGAATTGAAACATTTCAAATAACAGCATTGTTTACTTTCATAACAGCATAGTTTTACTCATAACACAGCTAACAGACCAAAGAGGTTCAAGGATTGAGATAGAAGAAGTAAAATTGTATACATTGAAAATTCAACTAATCAGCTGTTTAGGCCAATTTAATTTTTTTGAGTGTTTGGTGCAATGTTTCCTTGCATCCCTGGCAGTGGCAATGAGAAGTTATACACGAAAACATAACACCTCTTAGAAGTTATGAGTAGTGATTTTTAGTAATTAAAACGTTGTAGGTAAAGTAGTGTCCGCAACTCGTGTAAATCGTGAGGTTAACACTATCTTTACGCAATCGTTGAGTAAACTACTAACAGTATTTGCAACCTGTACCCGTTTTCTGGTCTATATGATCCAAGATTTTCCCTAAAGCTATTGAAGGAAACAGTTGAACTGTTAGTTTGATGTTCACTTTAATTTTTTAGTAGAAAAGCTACTATTGAGAAACCTTAAGATTTGTGTTGAAATTAACTCTTAATATCTTAAAAGAACAGAACTTGGAAACACACAGATAATAGAATAGAACAATTACACAAAGTAAATATTGCCATATGTTTTGTCATAAATATAACATGATATGTACTAGTTGAAAATGGTTCAACATAAACTACTATAGGCTATTTAAATATATGCACGTAATCTTTCAATGTAACTAACAATAAGAATCTCAAACCCCAAAAGCTATTACTAAAAATGAGCAATATTTAGCTCACAGCAGCACACTAGGATTTATTGAATGGAAAATTGTCTTAACATTCTAAGCTTACATTTGTTGAAGATATAATTGGATGAAAATAAAAAGCCAAGGTTCAACTCAAGAGACATTTATTGTTTCTGAAGTTGACACAAAATACATTTACCCACAAGGGAGAGTCAAAGACGTACAAATCTGTGGAATGTCAACAGACGCTGCTAACTGGGGATGTTAAAAGATTTTTGTCTAGTTAAACAAAACAAAAGTTAAATCTATGGTATAGATAAATAAATCAAAGCAAAACTGTTGCAGACAGACTAATTTGTAAAATTTAATTTTAACTGTTAAATGTTGTTAAATTTAACATGGTTTCAAATGTAAACTTAGTAGAAAGGAGCATATCAATTTAAAAACCCTAAAACCAGGTTCATAAATGTTCAAATTCTGCAACAGATAGTAAAAATTATCCTCAACAGATAGTAAAAAGATGTTCTGTTATTTATTAGTTTTGCAGTTAAAAACAATCCTTTCACTGAGTCAAACCTACCACCAGATAACAGCGCCTTTACAAGCGTTTTGATTGCATCAAAGCAAACCTTAACATTAGAACTATCGCTGAACCTGCCAGCCAAACAATCCCGACAAACGACAGAGCGGGAGACTAAAAGCCGCTCAAAAGTTTTCGCTTCAAAATATTATTCCATTGGTAAACAACAACTTATCAGTAAAAAAACAGAATCAATTGGAAACGTTCGGCATTATAAGGCACAAAGATGGATTTGGTAATTCATCAGATCTGTTATTTAATTTAAAAAGTAAAACCTAGTTCCATAAAAGTTTGTATTTCTTCTGTACATCTAGATTTAATGAAGCAAATTAAAAGTGATTGTGCGTAAATAACTTATAAAAAAATTTGTATTTTAGATCTTTTCAACAAAAATGTTAACATTTCATATCATCAAATTATAAACAATTCTGATCGTTAAATTGATTGTTCAATATAATATTGTAAATTTCATTGTAAATTAAAATTACAAAAGTATAATTGGGATTAGATTGTTTTGTAATAAAAGTATGCATACAACAATATGGCTAATCTGGATTAAATTAGGACGTAATTAAATCTTGTAAAAAATTGTGCAACAAAAAATATTACATTGGTCCAAACTGCCCATCAGATGGGTCGGGAAAGACTAAAATCATTGTTCTAATGTAACCCTCTGTTAATTAACGCTTTTACAAACATTCGACAAACCCCTTCATCCTAGCAAACACTACGAGTAAAAAATACATGAAAATATATATTTGTCTGTAGTTATGATCGACCGAGAACATTGCGACGCTTATGAGATATAAGCTAACGGACGACGGGCGTAGAAGCTCTTAACAAACGTTCAGGGATAGAAACCGATATGTCGGGGCTACGGCGGAAATCGTAAACCACCAAATTCGCACAGCCGCTATGTTTACGAAAGGACGATAATATGCTAAGACCTAACTCTAACATGCGAAAACATTGCCCGAACACTGTCCGACGAGTCCGAATAAAAAATAAACCTCTTACAATGCGAGTCAACAGGGTGGGACGACGACTTAAGACTAACTAACAATCTAGCCACTAGAGAATGGGGAGACTACGTAAACATTTACGCTTCGATGTGTACGAGTCGTTCTATTCGCTTTCCGACTATAGAAAACATTCTCGAAATCGTAACCGTGGGTCGTGATAAAAAAATATCTCGAAAACGAGTTATGCGATGTCGAAAAATATTCCCTCTATTACGAACTTGGCGTTGCCTCAGAAAGAAAGTCCTAAGCTACGATACGATACAAACTCCACCGGATACGGAAAAATAAATCTAAACGCTACTCGATTGAAAATATATTTTCTGGTTAGGCCATAGTAAGAGTAACAGGGTGAAGTGACAGTCAAAAACATCTCTGATATCTGACCGTCACTTGTATACAACAAACATCGACTTCGGAAAATTACTACTTCGAGTCTAAATCTAAAAAAGCGCAAAGCTCACGTTGACGTCAATTCGAACCCCTAGAACCCCTCAGAGCTGACGGTAAGCCCCTCACTATATGATAAGCATGCGATATAATATTAACGATGCATATTACTAAAACAAAAGGAATACGTTCGCAAACCAAAATAGATAACTATATAAATGACGAGTTCATAGAAATAGATTATCAATACTAAGGGAGATATTTTACTAGCATGATTTACTTGGCTCAAATACATATTTAGGATCATAGATCAATATCCATAATGTTAAGTGTTAAAGTTTGTCTATGTTAATCAATTTTTCACTTTGAATACTTAACCATTTTACAATGACGAGACCCTACTATAAGCACATTTTTTATTTACTGTTGTCTCCAGTATGCATAACCTATTTCTATGGGTGAAATATAACTAATGTAAAATAAAAACCCCGATACAAACAAAAATAGATCCCCCTATTCAAAGTTTTCCGCAGTTGGTAATGACAACATTCTTGGTTGGTTTGCCTGTCTGGTCGCCGTATGTAGAGATCTTCTCCACCAACTCCAGTCCCTCGACAATGTGTCCAAAGATGGCAGTGAAGCCTCGCATCTCTTGGAGGATACAGCGGAACTGTGAACCGACCATGCCCAAGTTGTCGTGACGCTTTTGTGTCCTCCTCATTCCCACCGCTCCTGTAATACAGGACAAAACAAATCTATGAAGATAATTCATTATTTTTTAACAGCTATTAATTATAGCATTTTCCAAACCTTTTTACTCTTTTCGAGGCTTAAGTTATCTTTCCATAACACCACAAGTGGTTGCAGTTCAATACCTCTGTGTTTTTACTAAGATTGTACCATTTTACAATTTTGCTGAAGGCTATTCTTTGTAAATTTATTTCTTTTATATTTAACATTTAAATATCGGATACATAGTATTAGTTTATTTCTGACCTAAAGAATACACAATTTGTGTCCATGTTTACAAATAAATAAATAGGAGAACCTGAGTTATTGTATGAACCAACATATTTCGTTGTAAACTGTTTGAAATAATTTTTTTTTCATTTATTTATATTTAAAATATCTGCTTCTTACCTCTTACGGCAGGAAACTTTGTGTCATCAGGCATAAAATATCCTTCCTCGTAGATGGACCTGCCACCTCGGCCGTTGTTCAGCTCAAAGTCGCCTGTGATGACACTCTCCCCTTCCCAACACTGGAATATTGCGCAGCCCTTGTAGCTGTAGCCCATCTCACCCGTCGTTAATACGGCAAAGTTCTTAGCCATTTTGGGAGCGACATCAGGTCGTGTCTCAATGACCATGCGCCCGTGTGGTGTTCCATTAACTTCAATGTTAAAAAAATACAGCGGGTACGGACTCGGTGGCCGTACGTTTAACGCGACGACTGGAGCTTGCTGGGGAGAAACTGCGACGATCGTACCAATTGGCTCTGAATGTACAAATGTCTGCTGCGGCTTCACAACGTATTCAACTGATCCGTTCTGCAAATGCTGTTGTTGCTGCTGTTTGCTCAGTACGTGTCGAGAGTACAGCTGGGACATGCAGTAGTTGGCGAGAAATAGAATAGGGTTGTGTGAAGCTGCTACGTGGTTTCGGCTTGGTTGGTTGATAGGCGAGTCTAACGTGTGAATGTTTGCGTGGATGTTGGCGAGTGCTTGCTTCAACAGCGGAAAGTCGAAGACAACGCCAGAGTTACCGATGAGGTCATCCAGTTGACATTGAAGGACCATCTCTTGGAATTTGGCTTGTAGTCTTTGTTTTTCGAGCGAGAGTGAGGTTAGAAGGTTCTGTGCTTCTCCAGGGTTCTCCAGATGAGAAAGTCCAACTCGAGCTTTACTCAACGTCTCCCTCGCCTCAGCAACCTGGAATAAAACCAAGTCTTTTATCAGCATATATTGAACCATAAATCTTGATAATGTTGATAGATGCATTGTCTCCAATCTGTTAGCTACTTTGAAAGCTGTGAATTAAAAACCCCATTGAAATCATGGTTTAATTGAAATAATCCTATTTATTAAAATCACAACATTTTTTTTATCCATTAAAGCCATTACTCTATCATAAACCCAATGTAATACAACACATCTTGCCCCTTTAAATGAATTAGTTGAGACACCCAAATGTAGATTTTTTACAATTTTTTTTTTACTTTTCCCCACCTGTGATTTATTGGCTGCACAGACTACTGCTAAATAAGTAAGAAGGGAAAAATAGTTTGATGTTATTTGCCAACTTTCATATTTATCAACTTAAATCACCTCCGGAACATGAGACCAGCCACTCTGCAGGTCTGTCTCTACGTGTGTCTTTAGTGTGATGCAGGCCTCGAGCACCTTGAGCAGGAACTGCCGCTGTTGTAGCGCAAGCCTTTGGATATCTGTCAACATCTTACTGACCGCCATCAGCTCGCATTGAACCTGAAACACAAATTATAGTTATTTGTGCAACTAGTGAGAAAAGTGAGCAATTGACTCACTCGAGAGAAATCCTTACTCACGAGCCGTAGGCGAGTGAGGAATGGTTTCTCGAGTGAGGCAATTGTAATTTGAACTCGAGTTGCACATTATACTTTTCCTACAGTTACCATAGAACAAATCAATTTGTGAAGAAACATAACCTATTTTTACACAGAAGTGAACTTTTAATATAACATTTAATGTGAAGTGACAAATACAACAGTACAATAGCTGACCAGCTGATTTACAGCCAGTGCTGCCAACGTATTTTGCGCGCATACGACGTTGCCTGCATGTTACGCGCTCACTATTTCGTGCCTTCACGTTGCAAATCTGGAGTGAGACAAAGTAATTAGAGTGAGACAATGTTAACATTGTCTCACTGATGAGCGAATTAGCCACTTTGCTTTCTCAAATCAGTGAGAGAACATGTACATTGTTAGGTAACTGTAGGAAAAAAATATTGTGTTTGTTACACTATTGCTTTGTTAAGTTATTAATATTTTGCCTTTCAAGTTAGGTTGTACATCCTTGGTTATAGCAATCTATAACAATGTTACTGCAGAATGAGCCAGGTGTTCGCTATATCTTAAATAATTTTATCTTCTGCAAGAATTTATTAGCTATTAGAACTGGTTTAGAACACAATTCCATGTGATGATGGTCATCATCCAGATACTTTTATACCATTTCCAACATAAAGATGATAACCTTACCTCAGATACCAGCTGTTCCTTAGCCTCAACCTGGCTCTTGATCTGATGGCCGGGGTGGTCGGTCTGGCTGGCACACGCACGACACATTGCGTTACAACATGTGTGACACCACAGCGCCAGTGGCATTCCATGTGTGTGGCAGTTTTCACTTTGTAGCAGCTGTTAAAAATAACAATAAGTTGTACAACAATTTTAAAGATTTTTTCAGCATCAGTATGTTGTTTTACTCTAGCAGATATTGCTTATTCATATGCTTTTGGTCATGTCAACTGTTGTTAAGCGTAAGGTAACACATGTATTCAACACTCACCTTCCCTTTGTCGGGTGGTTTTGTCGCACCAGAGCCTGCCGTCGCGCCAAGTTTTATCGCATTGAAGTTGTTACACAACACGAGGATTGGGTTGTAGGTTGGTAACGTCTCAGGCCCCTGGTCCAGCAGCTCCGTGCGTTTCCAACACGTTACGCAAAACACCTAACAAATATATAAACATTGTCATGAAATTTGTATAGTTTTGTTCTTGAAATGAATTACCATGACTAAAATATGTAAGGATAAAACAGCTACAGTTTTTATTTTTGGAAAGAAGTGGACTGTATTTTGACTGAACGAATTTACTTTACATTAAAAGGTCAAGTTGACAAATTATGAACAATTTTGGAATTTTGCTGAAAATCGTCTATAATAATGAAAGAAATCACTACAGTTCATGTGGTTATCTTCTTGGAATCATTTAATTAGAATATTACATACCGTAGGCTAATAACTTTGTTGACTGGATTCATTTGAAATATCACATTTCAGAATTTGTAATTTTTTAATTAGGTTTAGGGAACTTGTCGGTCCAGTTTAGCTATCTAACGTAGCCTACCTCCCGGCCCTTGATCATGGACGTCTGCACACAGTTGAGACAGTAGTAGTGCTTGCAGCTGAGCAACTTGGGAACCATCTCGTGCTCGTTGAACTTTTGTTTGCAGTAACCACACAACGTCAACTCCTCTAGGTCTTTTAGCGCCGACTCCATCATGGCTGTTAACAAATACTCTTTTAAGTAATGCAGTATGCAAGCTACAGAATTTAACTGTACAGTATCAGTAAGAACTGTAACATAACGTTCCTTTGGCGAGTATATCATGCTTCCTATTCATCTTTCAGAGAATTCCTAAGATTCAAGTAAGTGTCTATTGGAAAACGGTAATGTGTTATTGCAAAACTGATGTGGCTAATTAATATTTTTCTGGGTAATCATAAAATAATGTGTACTGAAATAAAAAATTAAAAAAGCATGCTTTAATAAACCTTTAAAAAAAATCTATTTGGGACACATTTTAAAGAGTTTATCATTACTTTTGTAATGTGCGTGAAAATCAGGTTTCATTGATTCCTTAAGTTCATTAATTGAATTAAGAGTGGTCTGATGTGTATGCTAAGAGTACAAACACTTATTTTCAAACAATTTAAAGACATTTTTGGCCAGCAAACAAAAGATGCGAATCCCAGCTTAGTCCCTTGTTACTGAAGTTTGAAAAAAGATTTGCACTCTTAAAACAGATTAAGTTTTGCACTTTTAAAACAGATTGGTTGTCAAGTACAACACTTCTAACTGAATTAGCCTATATACAAATACCCCCGCTACAGCCTGCATACAAACCTCCCTACTAAGAGAATTTCCATTTGTCGGAATTGATTTTCAATTTAATCTATTTAAATAACATCAGTTTAAACTATTACGGAGGTTTGCTGCTACAAGGAAACTAAGTGTATTTTTTAGTAAAATATTAATAACTTAGTATCAAATTAATAAATAAATTTGTCACGTTCGATCAAAATATATCCCCCGTAAGCCCCGTTTCCATGGTCTGATCAAGCTGGTACGTAAACTCGGAGGTGGAACCCCAAGATTAACATTTTGCAGTATAAAAACCGATAACGGTGGCTAGGTAGTTTTCTTTATGTGAATAATAAGAATATAAACAATACAAATACAAACAAATGTTTATTCAAGATTATTCAGTGTGGCAGATTGCGTGTAATAAATATATAAAGGCTACTTACAGTCTTCGCAATCCTGAGTTAATTGAGCACTACGGCCGTTTCGGAGATAACTCCATCGTTGGGTGCGTAGTCATCATACACTAAACTGAACTAGGCCTATTTACATATTTATATTTTTCACGTGGTTTCTTCATTTTCATTGCGTCAAAGTTTAATAAATAGTACATGCAACACAAGACACAGACACGACACGAAAACATTAAGGTCAACATTAAATGCCTTAATGTTTTCAGTGTCGTGTCCGTGTCTTGTGTTGCATGTACTATTTATTAAACTTTGGCGCAATGAACATGAAGAAACCACGTAAAAAATGTAAATATGTAAATAGGCCTAGTTCAGTTTAGTGTATGATGACTAAGCACCCGACGATGGAGTTATCTCCGAAACGGCCGTAGTGCTCAATTAACTCAGGATTGCAAAGACTGTAAGTAGCCTTTATATAAATGTTAATTTTACATTGTAGGCCTATAAGTTGGCCAATTTAAATTATCATGTTTAAATGGTCAATTTACCAAATATAAAAAACCTACTGCCAATCTAAGGCTAATTATCAATATGATTTTTGCCAATTTAATTTGTTTTACCAATTTAATTTGTTTTACCAATTTAAAACGAACTAAATTTTGTATTTCGCAACCATTGTTATTTTTGTTTTGCATTAAGCAGTAACAAACTATATAGGCTGTTTTATTATAATTTATATGGTCATCTTTTAATAGAGAATCACTTGGTATGTAATTTATGAAAGAATAGATCAATCTTATAAATGTTTAGAAATCTTGTACATGTATACCGAAGATTATGGTTTTTTCAAAGCCTTCAGGATCAAAAATCAAGGTTTAGTTTCATCTATGATTATATTAATACAACAAGACATTCCATCCCCATGTTAAATTTGTGGCCAGTTTTTAAACCAAAATCGTCGTAGTTGATGTGAGCCACCGACAGATTTTGCTGATCTAAATTACTGATTTCTGTCAAATACACAATCTTTTTTCCAATTCAAACTAATGGAATGACTTTTTGTGAGCTATAGCAACTGTGTATTAAATTAGTGTCTTGGTTTAAACCGTTTCTGAAAGGTTTCCTGTAGCCTATAGCTCGTTGATGAGTAGCCTATGACCCAGTCTAAAAGGGACAAACTTATAACATGTCAAACATAGCCTAGGTTTTTTTGTCTATTTCTGTACAGTGGCATTGTTTTGAATTCTTCGATAAGCCGCTTGAAACTATAGGCTGGGTGTTATTTTTTTTAATTGACCTGATGGTAGAAAGTACAATGTAAGTAACTTAATATTAATTTAGCCAAATTGAAATAAAGATGTATTGTAGAATCTTTTTTTCAGACATGTAGCCTACTTTAAAATTCACATGGTGACAATTGCATATAAGGAGACCTTTGTAATTATTAATACCATAGACAAAAAGAATGAAATATAGACTGTCAGCCGTGCTGCGGTTGCCATGGTTACCATAGGTTCCGGCGCACACCGCTGTAGTTTACGTAGCGCGTACGCCGTAACTACCGTGGTGCTCCAAGCGGTGTGCGCCAGAACCTATGGTAACCGCAGCACAGCTGACGGTCTATATTTCATTCTTTTTGTCTATGTTAATACTAACCAAAAAGAGAGTAATTTCTTCCCTGAAAAAGCTGTATCGGTAGTAATATCATTGACCAGCACATTGCAAAATCAAGGACTCTTGATAACGCATGCGGAGGTTAATTCCATGTTTGGTATTGAAACAATTAAATTCATAGGCTAACAAAAATCGATCTAATGTACAGTATTATATTACTAGGCATAAAATGTTACATTTTCGACACTTTGTTAACTTTTTAAGCATGGGTTAGGTTAAATTAAGTTTAAGTTATTATATATTTAGGCCTAATTTGGTTTAGAAATGGGTCATTATTGGCACTTTACTATTTCTTCTCGGTAAAAACGGCATCTGCCGAAAAAGTGTTTAAAATTGACTAAATAATGAAAACGACATAAAAAGTAAAATTTTCAAGCCCCAAAATTCATTGATTTCTAGCGCTTTTGGCAATGTTCAAACGTGATTTTCAGGGTGAAATAGTAGTTTCCCCCCAAAGTAAAAAGTGCTTAAAATAGTATAATTTTGGTAGATGTGGCAAAAAATGCAATACAAGTATTTTTAATGTATAAGTGTGTAGGCCTAAGTGAAATGATTGAAAAAATGTATAATCAAGAATTTTTATTCATCGTTCTATGTACAAAAAATAATTGTTGGGTCAAAATTGTTAAGGCTAGCCTTTAATATGCAGGTTTTGATTTATTTATAAATGCAATCGAGAGTAAGTCAAACTCTATAGAGATCATCGTACCTTTATAACATGTAGGCTACCTATAATGTTTCTTTGACTTGAAAAATCTTAAAAATAAAAACTATAAAATAAAAAAATGTATAGGCTATAACTTATTGGCGGGACCACGTAAGTTTGCAGTTGGTGGCAGCCAATCATAAGACAAGGCTAGTGCGACGTTGCTCATTGACAATACTAATTAAAATATAAAAGCAATATTTTCAAATCAGCTGGTATTATTAGATTTGGCAACACCGCACCGTTCTCATTGGTTCATTCAAAACCATATGGTAAATAGGCTCCTCCCTCAACTGCAAACTTATGTGGTCCCGACAATAGAGCCTATTACTTGGGCTACCGGTACTGATTTGCTAATGTTAATAAAACACCACAAATGTCAACACAAAAAACGGACTGAATGCAATTTCGATGCTAGTGCCTCGTAAGAAGTACCAAGGGTAGGCCTACCTAAGTTACATATTCAAGACCAGGTTGCCAAAAGCAAACTTGAGGCCTAGGCCTATCTTGGTAAATGTGTTACAATTTGTGTTTAGGAAAATAATTTGGTTAGGCGTACTGGTACCTGAATTTTTCAGGATTGAGAAACCAAGTTCTTTTTGGTAAGATGAGGTAACTAATAGGCATATACCGTAACTTAACAATATGAATATAAAATGTAATCAAACAAAAATTTGGAAAAGACAAAACTTTAATATACCACCATAGACAAAACATACTCCCTTAAGTAGATTTCTCATCCTTATGGAACAGCTGAAGACAATTTTATTGTTAGTTCTGTACGGTTTATGTAGAGGTCGTGTTTTGTTTACAATTTGTTTCCCGTTATTACAGCCATTTAAAACCTCGTTTAACCAAATAATACGATCTAATCATAAAAAATAACTTGTCCCCTAGTTATATAACCAAACAGTAGGCCTAAAGCACAAATCAAGAAATTTTAACCCTAAAATAATAGAAACAAAGTTTCGTCGACACTAGCGCCCATGTGTCACGTACATGAACTAGACACGAAAAACGTGCTTCGAAATTTACAATGGGATGAGAAGTCTACTTGTGTTGGTTAGTCTATGATTCCACTTAATCGCATTAGCCTATGAATTGTTAAGTTACAATCAATATATACAGTAGACCCCCTCTTAACCAACTTTGCAATAGGTAACCGATATTCGGATTATCCACCCCCGTTCGTAAAATATTACAGTTTGTTTTAACCGACCTTGTTTTTTATTTATTTCACACGGTTACACCATTTATACAATAATCATCAGAAACTTATTGGGTCTTATTGTTTTTAAACAGGTCGGTTTAACCGCTACTTCGTGTTATTGGAAATAAATTAAAAAAAAAGAATATGTTAGGCCCAAGTTATTTTGTGTTCTAAAAATAAATACATAGGCTATCCTCTCTTGTAAGTATAACTAAATGGTTGCCGTAAACATCATCAATCTTAAACAATAGGCTAAGTTAAGTTCTTTATGTTAACTTACCTACTGTAACTTAACTTATAACCGTAAGTTAGATGTGGAAAGCATCAATGCCTATAACTACAATTTATTAAAGTTTTTAGGGATTGCCCTCAGTATTTCCATTTGCATTTCCATATTATCCATATTATAATAGGCATTTCCATATTATCCCGAAAATGGGACTTTAACACCTTGAGCGGGATTGTAACGGGATTTCCGGCAATGACGACTATATTTTTATTTTTTTCTACTTAATTTAAGAGGAAAACTAACTCCAATTGATTTAAATATGCCAACCGTAGCAAAATATAATAGTAAGTTAGGTAATGAAAAACATGTGGGATAAAACGGGATTTTTCACAATTTAAAAGCGGATAAACAGGATTTCTCGAAGCGAGATTATTTCTTGGGTCGTATGGAAACACTGATTGCCTTTTATCTAACCTATTGAGCTTTCCGACCTAGGTCTGGTCCTGTTAGGGGCGGTTAAGAGGGTGTTTACTGTTTAAAGTTTGGATTTTCATTAGAAGTTTGATTAGCCTATCGATGGAATGGATACTTTTATTGGTTAGATAACCTGATGGAGTTGGTTATTAAAGTTTTGGGGGTTAACTTACTGTAGATCTTGCACTCTGATAAATCAATATTGTTTCATAACTTAGGCCTAATTTACACAGATTCATTAAGTTAGGACAATTTAATATAACTTTTGAAATGCTGGTACGTCTAAATAGGCTTGTATCTACCTGGCCTAAGATACAAATTTTATGCATCGTTTACTTCATCAAAACTTCAGGCTTGCGTCAAGGCCCAGCATCGTAAAGTTACGAGATGCAAACTTCAGTCTGTTAGATAACACTAATACCGAAACCCTACCCAGGCTGACGCTAACCGAAACCCCCGGGCTGTGAGACCCTGCTTTAAAATACACTAGGCCTAACGCTGGGCTTCTGAGACGTGCATGTTATGAACCCATCAAGGTTACGTCACCCACGCAAAATGAACAAACAATAAACTTATATCATCAGGTAAGTTAAGTTAGGGGAGGAAGGTATTGGGGGAATGGAAAACAGTGTTGCCAACATGCGTTTGTGAAATCCCGTGGACCTGTCAGACCAGGGTTTCGATAAAAGTGTTAGGTTAGCCTAAGCCAGTTCTTTCAAATTTGAGGTAAACTCCGCTAAGTCTAACAATTGTATTCTGTTTATTTACAATATTTTACATCATCCTTGTTACCTAACTTAATAGGCCTATGGTACAACAAGACGTAAACTCAGGCCTAGGATAAGTTGGTTGAATCAACAGGGTCTAGGCTACTCCCTGTCATCAGCTGATTTTAAGGTTATGACAAAACAACAGTAATAAGTTGTAACTGGTAAATAATACAACTTTTGCAATAAATGTGAGTGTGTGGCATAAATATTGTATCTATTAGGAAATATGTGACTCAGTTTGAACGGCAAGTTAGGCCTACTGTTGGTAAATTTCGTCAGAAACCACAAGTCCTATATCCTAATGACGGGCCAAGAACCTAGATTGGTGTTTTGTCTAAGCTCAATAAAATCAATATTCTGCGTATTCATTTATAAACTAGGGAAGAGGTTTGACTTCAATGTGAAATCGAGATTGGCTTTAATTTGGTCTTTATTGTGTGAGAGATAAGAACTGTTCTTGTCTCGTTGTGTACGAAGTTGACAACTGTTTGGATGCTCTATTTCAAACGTCATGCGTATAATTCATATTATTCTTTTCAAGACGTGCGGCCACAATATTTTTACCTCTTTTATTTAGGCCTTTTATGTAATGATGTTTGAATAACTACATATCAGTGGTGATAAAAGCACTCATACCGTTAAAACAAAAGGAGAAAGTCTAAACTGGCGGAAGAAAAACACAGAACGTAATAAGGCGAGTTGTTACGTAGGTTGAAAACAAAAAGCGGCTTCACAAAATCTAACACTTTTAACTAACACAAGTGTCACTGATTTTAAAACACTGCACTTATCACATCTTAATAATATAACTTTGGTCAAGATACAAACGATGTTGTTATTGTTTTGTTTACTAAATCCGTGTTTGCCACATCATTATTTTCCTATTCTCAACCACTGGCATGGCGGATAGTCAGTGTTGTTGAAAATCAAAATATCCCCGACGCTACCTAGCGGATTGATACTGAACTCGCTCTCCCGCGTTGTAAAGGGCGGCCATTTTAGTTTCGCTAGAGTACGCGGCAATTATGAATTTTGTCTTTTTCATAAATTCCTTAGTTTGAGATTTTACACGTCTATTAGCAGTTTTTCCCTCCTTGCTATGTTATTTGTATTATAAAAAATATATTCTTGCCGAGTTACATTCTTACTAGCATATACATCGCAGAATAAATAGTTAAGTTAAAGTGGTAATTCATGATTAGTGCTAAGTTGCATTGCTAGAACAAATTGAATCACATTATTCATTATTCATTATTCATTAGCCTTCGTCGTTGACCCTCTGATGAGGGAATAGACTGCGTCGTTGTTTAATACGAAAAAAAAGACACAAAAACAAATACTACACGCACATATAAAATAAAACTTATTTAACATGGCGGGCAGGCAGTAACATACCGGTAACTATATAGAGTTTTAGTTTTTATATGCCCAGAAATTGTAGAAGGTGTTCAGGGATGCCAAACATTTGCAACTGCCTTTAAAATAGGCTAAAAATCCATAAGTAATTTACAATTAGCATTGAGTAAATTTATAAAATACCTACTGGTACTGGGGGAATGATGTAAAAATGATTTTTACTCATACAAATTATCGTCTTATTACTTCGCTTATGTTATCATAGTTATGTAAACTTTGCTTTTTCATTAAACTAAAATATTTAGATAAATACCCCCGCTGCAGCAAACCTGCAGACTAAGCGAATTTCCATTTGCCTGATTGGATTTACACTAAAATGTCTCCTTAAAAATATCACATTTATTCCCTATTTAAATAACATTAGTTTAATAAGTACTTAGGTTGGGAGGATAAAAAGAGGTGTTTTTTTTTTTATGATAATAGTTTAGTATAAAATGAATGCATTTTCCAAATTTGATCAAAATATGTTCATAAACAAGCAAACTACAACAGTTTACTTATTCTCCATAAGAATAACATGGGAATTTTAAATTTACAGTTTTTTGGAATTTTCTCCGTAACTATTAGTCTTTTAATCTATGCTATTAGGCGCATAACCACACTTCAATAACAAATTATTTGTTTTTTAAGTTCTACAAAATAGTTTGGAAAGAAATTGCAGAAAACCCCATTTTTACCCCATAAAACCCCCCATAAACCCCCGTTCCCATGGTCCGATTATGCTGGATCGCGAACTCGTTCGAATAAACGTAGGTTTACACTTTTGTACCAAATTTCATTAAAATCGGATGATTTTTGCTCCATGTCTTACCATGAGTACTACGGTAATAGCTTATTCCCTATAGGGAAATTCGCTAAAAGTTAATTTGAATATACATTACAGTATTATATTTCAAAACAAGATACGATTTTACTTCAATTAAATTGTACTTGTTTAAACAGTTTATTTGTGTATTTAATGTTCTGTGTTCTTGATCTCAATGAATATTTTGATTTAGTAAGTAAACGTTGGGTTGCAGGAAAAGGACTGTTATGGCAACGAGGTGCCTCGGCTAGCTCGACCACTGCCTGTAGAGTACCTGCTAGTGGATGTTCCTGCGTCCACACCTCTCACTCCGCTGCACACCTTCCACTGCGAGCCCAATACAACCCCTTTCCCCGTGGAGAATCGGTGAGTGAACCTTGGGAAAGGTGTATTACCCTCTATATGTAATTGGTGCTTTTTTGATGATGTTCATGTGTTTTCCTGACAACGCAACCAACAAGAGCTATTGTTTTCAACACATTTATTTTTCTCTGTACTTATTGCTTCTCCGTGGTATTTGATTACTAGGACATTTTCCTTTTATTTGCTGGATTGTCAAAGGGGTTACCGTATAACTCCGTTCTTATAAATCAGATCCTATCATATTGGATGTGAACCTGGAACAACACACTAATACAATACTGAATGCTCTCAAAACATTTTTTGTGTGTGTAAAAATAGGTATATAAAAAAACTTCACTGGTACTGAATTATTGAGATTTTACTTATCATGTGTGGTGATTGTTCAACTTGTACAATGTGTCCCAGGTTATTGGACGGCCACATACAGGACTTCTCTGCACTTACTGTGTATCTCGCGCAGTTCTCCAAGGAACAGTTTCTAGACGCTGCATCAGACTTCCACTTCCTGCTGTATATAGCAACGATGGACAGCCTTCCGATGAAGGTGACGTAAAATAATGACAGCCAAGTTGCTTATTCACAACATTTATTTTTTGTTTTTAGTGCTGAAAAGATTAAACATTTCTCCCTTGGTTGGTAGGGGAAAAGACCAGAAGATTTTTTGTTAAGAAAATGTTTTGAAAATGGGTATTGTTTGCTAATCCCTGATTGGTGTTATTGTGTAGGACGTGATGGCGCCACTGCTGGAGGCTGTGAGGACGAGGGACGTGGCGGCCGCGGGCCGATGGGCGGCAGACGACCACTGGGCCAATGTAGAGCAGATGATGGCAGCAACTGGAGGTGGGGCAACCAGCTCTAGCAGTGATGAGGCCCAATGGACATGTCCACACTGCACCTTCATCAACCCATCTCAGCTGCAACAATGCGAGATGTGCAGACTGCCCAGGTCAGATATGGACTAGCTGTAGCCTCCATCCCGTTCAACCTGAACCCTGATTATCCATAACCAGGATAAAGTATTAAAATCAATAAATTAGCCAGGCAACTAGAAATTTTATTGTTAGTTCCGCCTGGTGCACTGTTGTAGGGGTTGTGTTTTTGTTTACTATTTGTTTCAGTCATTTAAAACCTTGTTTAACCAATAAAACAATCTAATCATTAACAATAACTAATCCCCCTAGCTATATAACCAAACAGTAAAGCACAAATCATGAAATTAATGCTAAATAGAAATACAATTTTCTTGACAGTGATCAGTATCACCAACGTGAACTAGACAAGAAAAACAAGTGTCAAAATTTACAATGGGATGAGAAGTCTACTTTTATTTATTTGTTTCCAACGGGAAACCCATTGCATTGATTCATAATAAAAAAATCAAGGCAAGATGTACTAATTCTATAAATATTCAACAACAAATTAATATACAATCAAAGTATAATAATTCTATGCAGCAAAATGTGTGTGCATCTTGGGTGGATCTTGGATAGACATGGACAATACAATTTTGTTGGTTAGTCTATGGTTTTACTGTGGTTGAAGAAACCCTATATCTAGTCAAGTAGTCAAGTACACATGATCAAAGAAGTTATATGATTATTAGGAACAATAATCCCCAAAAAGTGGGAATCTTCAAATAAAATCAAAATAAAAGTGATTCATTATATGCACTCGTACATAATACCAATGAACAGAGTCAGTAATTTTATCCTATACTCTAATACGAGCAATGTTTGCTTGTATGTATGCTTGCTTGCTTGCTTGCTTGCAGAAAGATCTCGAAAACGGCTCCGACGATTTTCTTCAAATCTTGTAAATAGTTTATTTTTGGCCTAAAAACAAGTTTCATGCAGTTAGAACTGCCAACAAAAATCTAATTACGTAGAAAAACGAAACTGAAAGTCACATTTTTTTAACATTAGTCTTATGGGTTGCTAAGTAACCATGTTGGTTGAATTAAATAACAAGGAAAAGGTAAACAAAAGACTTGAAGCTGTAGGGTATTTACTCAGGGGAGGTATAGAAGAGGCTACGATGACAGCTGTGGGCTTCTTTTTAGCTGAGGGAACGCCTTTACCGTAACAAAACGGTTCGTAGACATCGGCCTAGGTGGTCTAATGGATAGCGTGGTGCCGGGCTGACATACTGCAGGTCCCGGGTTCGAATCCCGCTGGTATCATTAAACTTTTTGTCCAAGATTTGTTTATTATCAGCAAGTTTGGTTGGTTTGGTTAGGTTATTATAGTTTAATTTTATTATTAAGTCATTATAAAATGTTATTTGAGCAATTTCTAGTTTTATTTAATAAACAGAATTATTTTAAGCTTTTGTTATATTTTCTTTATCAGCAAGTTTGGTTAGTTCGGTTAGGTTATGATAGTTTAATTTTATATTTAAAAATAATAAAATTGAATTTGAGGCATTTATAATTTTATTTTATGAACAGAACTATTTTTGCGATTAGTTAACCTTCATTGCCAAAGTGTTCTTTACTACAGCGCTGTTCACGGAGGAATTTTGAACTAAATGCCTCATTCGTACCTCCCCTAAGTCAGACCCAAGTTGTAGCACGTGTTCATAATAAACCAACTACCCACAGTATACTAGCAAATTACAAATACAGTACAAAAGGAAAAACATCACTTGTTAATATTGAGCAAAGATTATACCAAAGATTGATTATACTTAAGATTACTCGAGACATTGTAGTCAAGGGTAGCAGTGCGAAGTCTAGGATCTGTTTATGACGAATACATTATTAAGGTATCTGCAATCCTAAAATGCTATGGGAAGGGAAGGAAACAGGTCCGTGACGTAGGAAGTAGTGAAGGAAGTAGTAAAGGCAATCATAAAATGCTATGGGAATAGAGGGAAACAGGTCCGTGACGTAGGAAGTGATGAAGGAAGTAGTAAATGCGAGCAGTCCGGAGTGTGGGGACTGTTTATGACGATAAGATTAGGGTATCTGCAATCCTAAAATGCTATGGGAAGGGAGGGAAACAGGTCCGTGACGTAGGAAGTGGTGAAGGAAGTAGTCAAGGCGAGCTGTCCGGAGTGTGGGAACTGTTTATGACGATTAGATAAGGGTATGGGCTATCCTAAAATGCTATGGGAAGGGAGGGAAACAGGTCCGCGACGTAGGAAGTGGTGACAGAAGTAGTCAAGGCGAGTTGTCCGGAGTGTGGGAACTGTTTATGACGATTAGATTAAGGTATCTGCAATCTTTAAATGCAATGGGAAGGGAGGGAAACAGGTCCGCGACGTAGGATGTGGTGAAGGAAGTAGTCAAGGCGAGCTGTCCGGAGTGTGGGAACTGTTTATGACGATTAGATTAATGTATCTGCAATCTTTAAATGCAATGGGAAGGGAGGGAAACATGTTTGCGACGTAGGAAGTGGTGAAGGAAGTAGTAAAGGCGATTAGTATGGAGTGTGGGAACTGTTTATGACGATTAGATTAACGTATCTGCAATTCTGAAATGCTATGGGAAGGGAGAAAAACAGGTCCGCTACGTTGGAAGTGGTGAAGGAAGTAGTCAAGGCGAGCTGTCCGGAGTGTGGGAACTGTTAATAACGATTAGATTAAGGTATCTACAATCTTAAAGTGCTATGGGAATGGAGGGAAACAGGTCCATGACGTAGGAAATGGTGTAGGACGTTGTAAAGGCGAGCCGTGTGGAGTTTGGGAACAGATTTATGTATCTCCGATACTAAGACTGCTTTCAGAGTGAACTAATGATTTTCTCCGAGCAAAGCTCGGTCCCCAGGTACTAATTTTCTAAACTAAAGTAATAAAATTGACTGTAAAAAAGCCAAAGATTGCTTCAATTTTAGTTTTATGAGTGACTTTCCCTTTCATACCAAGGTAATAAAAAAAAATAACTCTTCATCTAAAATCCAGATTTTAGCAAACAGATTATGTCTGAAGAAAAATTATCAGTAAATGTCGATTCACACATATCAGTCCAATCACAGTTCTGTTACAGTCCAGTCACAGTTCTGTTACAGTCCAGTTACAGTCCAGTCACAGTTCAGTCGCATTTCAGTCACAGTTGCATCTGCAATTCAACTGCTGGTCAACTGTTCGTCAGTTGGTTTCAGCCAGTCTTTCGTCACTGTATTAAAAAATGTTACAGTAAAGAATTTTTTACTAAAACGCAATATTCTATCAAATTTTCATCGTACATGTTGTTTTTTGTTACAAACAATACTTAAAATATAAACACAATCATTTAAATAACAAAAAGAGTATTTTCTAAACTCAAATATGTCCGTCAGGTGTCTGAACAATCTAAAAATATCGTTGGGAAGAAATCTGAAATGAAATGAAATGAAATGAAATGAAATGAAATGTCTTTATTGCTTTTAACATCATATAACATGCATTGCAATCGTCAAAATACTTAGATTATAAAATAAGTAGCATATCATACAGTGCAAACCATGCAATAAAACTCAAACTTAAGTTAGAAAGAACAAAAACCATGCTTTCTACTCTACAATAAAACAATCCTGTTGAGGCAAACAAACCAATCTACTTACACAGTAGGCATACCTTCAACTTAAAAAATCATTTCAAGACTGTCTGGGCATTTATTAATAAGCCATTTTTTTAATTCCATTTTGAAGTTTTTACCTTCTAGTTTCTTTATGCAGTTTGGTAACTTATTGAAAAAAATTGTTCCCTTGACATAAGGGCTATTCTCTGTCCTTTTGAAATGTCTTCTCACTCTGAAAAAATCATTACACTGTCTAGTGTTATGGTCATGCATTTGTCCTACATTAGAAATTAAAATACCAGAACTAAAGTTAAATTTTACCAAACATATAACCTGGTATACATACATTGCGTACAAAGTCATAATGTTGTTTGACACAAAAATGTCTTTGCTATGAGTCCTTGGGCTAACTTTTGCTACCAAACGTACAGCTCTTTTTTGTAACAGAAAAATTCTTTTGGTATAAGTGTGAAAAGAACCTCCCCACAGGACAAGCCCATAAGCCAGATATGGATACACCACTCCAAAATAGACTGACCTTAATGTTTCACAGTCCAAATAGTTTGAAAGTCTTCTTAGCAAAGAAATACCACTCAAGACTTTAGCACCAACATGGTCGATGTGTTTATCCCATGTAAAATGTTTGTCAAAAAATATTCCAAGAAATTTACAAAAATCATTACCATCCAGAGTCATATTATCACCTGAGATGCTAAAAGCCGGAACATTGCGACCAATTGAGAAATGTACAAGATCAGTCTTACTTAAGTTTACCTTTAAACCTACTTCCAAAAAATAAGCATTGGCAGCTTCAGAAAAATTGGTTAATAAAGCTTTAAGATTTACCATATTGTTTGCCCAGCACAGCCCAGAAGTATCATCTGCATACATACATGCAAAAACATTATCCATGACAATAAAACTATTTACATAAACTATATACAGAAAAGGTCCTAAAATTGAGCCCTGCGGAACCCCTGAGGTTACCACTCGTGTTTCCGACCTATGTTCTCTCTCTGTCGTACCATCATCAAAAGAAACTGTGGTGCATTGTTGGCGATTTTTTAAATAAGATTCCACCAGACTCACCAACCATCCTGGAACTTTATAGCCAATCAGTTTTGCCAATAAGATAGAATGGTCAACCCGATCAAAGGCCTTCGAAAGGTCTAGCAGAAGCGCTGCCACTTTACAACCTTCATCAAGTTTTTCAAGAGCAGTGTGAACAAAATCAACAGCAGCAGTGATAGTGCTCCGACCCTTCCGAAAGCCATGCTGAAAATCTGACAAAATTTTGTGATCATCAAAAAATTGTATTAGGCACCCAAGAACGAACTTCTCGATTACTTTACCAAAAGTAGACGTGAGAGAAATAGGCCTATAATTCTGAACATCTGTCTTTACCCCCTTCTTATACAATGGTTTAACAATTGTGAGTTTAAGTGGATCTGGAAAGATGGATGTTGATAACACAGTCTGAATCAAATGCACCAAAATAGGAGCCAGTTCAGATTTGCATTTCTTTAACAAATTTGGAGATATGCTGTCCCAGCCAGAAGAGCTTTTGTTGTTTAAGCTATTTATGATCAAAACAACAGATTCATTACTAATAGTTAGTGGAACTCCCCAGTGAGTATTGATAACATCAGTACCCTGGTTTTGAAACAAGTTAAGCTCATTTTCTACTGCATCATTCTTAACAATATCTACAAAATAGTCATTAAAATGTTGGCTTACATCAACAGGATCCACAATTACCTCATTACCTTCTACAAGGGATATGTTTCTCTTAGGCCCAGATTCCAAACTAGGCTTACTTCTAATGCTATTTACAAATGACCATGCACTCTTAGAAACATTATCTGATGAAGTTATTTTAGATCTGATATGTTCAGATTTTGCTAATTTTACTTCTTTGCGAAAAAGATACTTAAGTTGTGTGTACCTTGCCTTGTAGATCTCACTTCCAGTTTGTTTGAAAATAGTATGCATGTTAATCATACTTTCCTGCAAACCTAATGTATGTTCACTCAGAACCACTTTACTTACAGCTTTATTATGAACATTACCTTTCTTTTTAATTTTAGTTACAGGACAAGTTACATCTAAATGCCACAATAGGATGTCAAAAAACGCCTTCCATTTATCGTTAACATCCATATGAACAAAAACTGGATCCCAAGTTTCCCTGGACAGACTATGTCTAAGGCTAGCTACATTTACTTCATTAAATTTGCGCTTGTACAAAAAAGTATCAGTACAATTGTAAGCTACAACAGCTTTAACATCTACATATTGTGCATAATGATCAGATATAAAACCATTTATCACTTTGGCTTCTGTAAACTTAGCATCTGTGATTATATGGTCAATAGAAGATGAAGATAATAAAGTTTCTCTAGTGGGCAAATGGCCTAAAATATCCACTAACCTAAAAGATTCAGTCAGATCCAACAAATTTCTCTTTTCATTACTGTCATTCAAAGTGTCTATATTCAGATCACCCAGTATACAAACTCTCACCCTGTCACTTTTTGGAATATTATTTAAGGCAACTTCAAGATTTTCCAAGAAAGTGGACAGGTTTCCATTAGGTGACCTATATATAGCAATCACAAATAGAATGAAAACACCAATACATATCTTAGCCATTACAACTTCAAAGTCTAAATCGCTGCACAAATTTTTAACCCAAGTAGGCCTGAACCTTGATACAAATTTACTGAGATGATCCTTAATGTAGATAGCTACACCACCTCCCTTATGAAGATTTCTAGAGTATGAGTCAACAAGGCTATATCCCTCAAACTTAAAAAAGTGAATATCCTCCTCACGCCTTTGATGCTCCGTCAAGACAAAAATATCCGCAGCAAGCTCCGAAAGAAACAGCTCTACAGTGTCAAACTTATTTCCAAGTCCTTCCACGTTTTGATGCAGCAGACGCAAACAAAACTCGTTTTCCTCGCCTACTGACTTTTGTTCGCTAAAAAAATAAGTTTGCTTAACCCGGTTCCACTATGTCTAGGCCTAAAAACCCTACGAGGGAACTCAAATTCTTTTACCAAAATATTTTTGGGCCAAAAACCACCTTGCAGAACTGAAGAAAAGTCTTTTTCGGGCACACTTACCTTGAAACTACTACAATTAGAATGCCTGGTTGTCAGTTTTTCACAGGATACCTCAGATAATCCACTGTTTTTTAAATAAACTGTAAGATCATCAGTTGTCGTGTTTATGTCACACCTAGAAACAAAAACCCACCTTTTTTGTTCTGCATGTTTCAAGCCATCTTTAGATTCGTTACAGCCAATTACAACTGGTCTCGTTTTGTTACTGTCTCGTTTCAGAGTAGGCCTATCAGTTATACGAGTCTTTTTGGTTGAAACAACAGTACTATAGAGTAACCTATCTGTTTTACCTACACTACTTAAAGGAGTTGGAGTATTTCGAGCAGTGATACCAGTACCTTCTTTATCCTGAGAGTGTTCAGACTGAGAGGTTAGAACTGTGGAAACGTTAGACTCTACGTTCACCACAAGATCAGTCTCACCTCCATTAGTAGCATTTACACTATCAGAGTCTAAGATGTCATTAGGATAAGAGTTTTCAAATGAATTACGGAAATCTGTCGAACGTCCAAAGGACTGTGATGGAATAAACTGTCTGTTTGTATTACGAGAAAGTTTCTCCTTAGGCCTAGTGCAGACAACACCACTGTCACTGTGCACAAAATTAGTCAATAAACTATTTGTGTTTTTAGAAATTGAATCAATTTTCTCATTTAATAGCACATTATCTGAAACTACACCTTTTACAATGTCAATAAGTCTGTTTACAGTAGAGTTCAGGTTAATGATACTCTCCAAGTCAAACACGTTCTTGGTAAGGTTATCTAACCTCAAACCACAGGTTGCACACAACCACCTCGATTTGTCACCAAGCTCAGACATTGAACATTGAATCATATTCATGATCAGAGATATTAACACACTTAGTATGGAACCAAAACTTACAAAAACCTTCACATTCCACGCCTTTTTCATCATCTAATACTGATTTCTTGCAGCATGGACAAAAAGCATGATCATTCTCAATACCAGCCATAACAGGAAAAAAAAAACTATAAAAAAATCTGAAATTGACTGATGGGTGCCGGCAAAGCAACTGACGGACCTGTGTCAGAACTGCGCCAGATGAGTGTAGATAACAAAATAAAAAATCCTTTAAAGAATATTTTTCTTGACTTTGGCATGACTGTCGGCTGATGTGACAAGCCGTAACTATATTTGTGAATCAACCTTTACCTGGTTGCTTCAGTTTAAAGATCAACTTAATTAGAGGGAAGCTTAGGTCAATAGCCATTAACTGTACAAACCAAGAAAAATTTCCTTCTTTTCACTATTTAAAATACTTCTGCCAAATAAAACCTGCAGACTAAGCGAAATTCCATTTACCTACTTGGATTTTTCACTTATTTTCTTAAAATTGTAAGATTAATTTTCTATTTGAATAAAATAAATTGTAATGAGTACGGTACTTAGCTTTGGTGCTACACAGACAGGAGGTAATAAAGTGTTTTTTTTTTTAATTTTAAGTTCTACAAAATGGTTTGGAAATAAATTGCAGCATTTTATATTTTGGAAGTCACAAATGAGGAAAATAAATAATTTGTACACCATAAAACCCCGTTTTCTTAGTCTGATCATGCTTGTTCGAATAGATGTAAGTTTCATATTTGTACCAAATCTCATCAAGAAATTGGATTATTTTAACTCGAGTTATCGGGCTAAACAGATATTTTTATGTTACGAATTTGAACGGATGGTGTTTTTGGCCACTGGGGACCTCAAAACATAAATCAGTCCCATGTCCAGGTCTTAACCAAGAGACCTGTATAGTAAAAGTAATAGCTAATAAGGAAAATTTGCTACAAGGGTAATTAAAATAATAAATTTGTATTAAAATGAACAAAGTTATACCTAAATTCAGAAACTTTTCTATGTTTTATGACTTTAGATAACATTACTTCTCCATTCCTTATTATAAAAGTTAACCCTCATTTTGTCTGTGATCTGTTGTTTTACTGAGTAATGTCAAATGGTTGAATAGTCATTAATTACTATAATGTTGTTTGTTTGCCCTGCAGGTAGGACATCTGTGCAGCTGTTGTTGCTAGCATCAGCTCTGCTCATGCGAGACACAACTTTCTGAAGAAAACTGCAGGAATAATTTATTTTTAATCAATATTTACTCTTTAATAAAATTTGGGATTTTTTTTGTTTTTTTTTATATTAAGTTTACATTGGCTCTGTTTATGTTAAATACTGCAGTACAAATGTGCGACTTAAGTTTGTGTAAATACTGTTTAAGGACGTAGAAGTAATTTATTTTTAAAGACCTCACTTTTTGAGCATTCGAGCTTTAGCCAAGTTTTTATAACTTAGAAAAAAGTAGGAAGCTAATGGCCAAGCTGGAAAGTTGAGTCAGTTAGTTTAGTTTTCAAAGGTTTTTTTAAAAACGTTATAAAAAAGTTTTGATTGCACAGTACAGTAGTAGGAGGAAAGTTTTGTAATTCGTCCAAAGAGTAATTTTGAGTCACCAAGTGGCATGTACGATTTTTAAAGACACAATAAAGAGATGAAAAGTTAACCCTGTGTGTTTTATCTCCCTTGGACTATGTGAAGGTGTGATTGTACATCCTTCTGGATCTATTGCTGTCTCAATGCCTGTCCTTAGGTCTCAAGCAGGAAACCCACTATAGTTCGGCCGCTTAGAAAGCGACCTCCTCCAGCATTGGTTTAGCATTAGCGCGCAGGTCGTTTTCTAAGCGGCCGAACTATAGTCCGACGCTCTTTGCTCCGTTCTGTTCGGTCTCTGATGCTTTCCGTCAAATATTGCTTTGCAAGGCTTTGAATGAACTAAAACCCATTAGTCCACTCAGATTCTCTCCGTTCATCAACGTTACTCTATGGGGCATTGTTGACGGACGTAGGATCCGATGTTCCTCCAGTCTGCGTGCACCAGCCTAGTTTAGTCAAGCTTTCTTGTGACATGAGTGTAGACAAACTTTTTATTTAAGCAGTTTGGGAGTATCCCTTTCTTTACAGTGTGTTTATTGTCCACGTTTTTTAGGCACGAGCCCGGAATTGTTTTCACATTACTTCAGGCTAGACCTAAGGGTTACGGTATTATCACTTAGATAAAATCCATTGGTGATTTGGCAGGATTTGAACCCAGGACCAGGACCCGGAGTCCCACGCTCTAACTCTAGACCAGCTCGCTCACAGTGTGAGTGATAACATTTATCATGATAACAGGAAGAAGGCCAATGCCTGGCAGAAAATAAGTGAAAATTTTAATATTATTACAGGTAAGATTATTGTGTCTGCAAAACGACCAGTGGGCGCTGAATTTGTATGCTTGAAATGAAATGAAAATCCTGTCTTTATTGAGGCAAACTTAGGATTCATTGTACTTTCTTACAGTTAACCTCGTGTATGCTTGACAACAAGGAAAAATAATTAGGGCTTGGATACACAAGTATTGTTTTGACTTTTTTTACCACAAAATCGAATACACGCCAAACCAAAAATAGTTGTTTTTGTGTAGGGGAAATGTGTCCTAGTTACGAACTGTGAAGTTTAAAAAAATTGTATTTCCAATGGGCTATCCTTATATATAATACGTGAAGGCGATTTCTACAAAACACTACTCCTCCGATAATAATGGACGGATTTTTACAAACGATGTGTCAAAATGAAGTATTGTTTGTGTAGATACCCCCTTTCACCAATTCCTGTAATAAAGGTACTCGGGCTTTGCCCCACAGGCCATCAAAATCCCAATGTATTTCTTATGGATAAAAGATTTTGTTTACTTAAATGGACGAATAATTTGTATTAATTACAGCTGTTCATAGTAAACACATGATACACACAAGAGCGTACGTTTTCAGTTTCGATAACTGGACTGGAGTGATTGATTGCATTATCTCTTAGTAGACTCTTTTAAGACATCAGAAATTATGACTGTTATTCGTTTTGAAATAACGCCCATATTACTTTGCAATTGCTAAAATTCGAGCAACAGGTGCACTAGTTTCCTTAAAAAGGGGTGGAAGATGTCTGACCCAGAATGAACGGAACGGAAAGCTAGTGGGTTTCCTGCTTCATCCTGTTTTACCAGTGTTGACACACCTGCTCAATGACTGCCAGCTACCCAAAATTAGCTCACTTTTGTAATGAATTGTGCCACCACACCATATAGGTTCGTGCAATTGTAACATTAATTAAATGGGTGGAGGTAAATGAATCGGTAAACGAAATAAAGCTTAAATAACCACTTATTTTTATGTTTAAGTGATTCGAGACTACACAAAAATTATATATTCTATTGATGGAATGTACATTCAACTCCCGATTGACAAGGACTAAGCAGGATTGAGACTTCCTGGTTAAGTAAAATCACGGACAATCCGCTAAATATTATAAAATGAACAGGGAAAAACATTGTCCAACTTTATCAAAATCCATGTTTGTAGCCTCTGAGCATAATGCAAGACTAAATTACTTACATAATACAGTCTCAGCTCAACAATATTTGTCAGACATGTTTCGGTGTTTAAACTCTGTTAGCTACAGGTACTTGTAAAATGACAAGTTGTAGACATCGTCAAAAGATAAACACAGTACGGCATTATCAAAACTATGATAAAATATGGTGTGCGGGTGAGTTTTGACATATTGGGAGGGGTCTATGACCTTATGATGGGCCCCGGCTGGAGACGAGGTTGACTTATGATTTGTTTATGTCCTACAACGCTTCCTTCATCCTTGATATTCTAGTTTGAAAAGATTTACAGTTTGATTTATCCGGATGGGAAACACTCCAAATTGGCACCAAAGATATAATTAGGTACCATGAATTGATTTTACATATTTTTTTATGGAACTGATAATGTTGTTAATTCAATTTATCATTGATCGTAATTTGGGTGTCGATTTTAGATAGTGAAGTCGATATCCCATCAATACACCCGCTGTAGCCCTTTTTATTCAAACTAGTATTCCAGTTGCTCGAAATCGAGCAATTGCCAATAACATTTCTTGTAAAATTTTTCATTTTTCAGAAGCTGACCTTGTTTTTTATCTCACAAATGTTTTCCGTCTTACCCATAGCCACATAAAGTTGTCCATGTTTATCTTTATAATACAGTAGACTCCCTCTTACCCAGACTCCTCAGGACCGAGGCCAGTCCAGATAAACGGTTTCCCGGATAAATCGACATCCTGAAAAACTCGTTAAAACGGACCGTTTGAATCCATATTGTATAAGCCAATAATGATTATTACGTATTTAGACACGTGATCACTGGTCTCAAATCTTTCCCACAAGAACAGTCGTTTCTGCTGTTAAATTAATGTTGGATGAACAGCTAAACCGAAGTCCGGTTAAAAGGTGTCCGGATAAGAGGGAGTCTACTGTATTAGCAAATTAAATTATTAGAGTTCTTTCCCATTACTTTATTCAATTCTCATAAAACCAACTTATTATTACTCAACTAAAATTATTTTACTCAAAATAAAATGATTAAGTGAGAGATTCTCATTGAAAAATAGGATAATGTTATCAGAATATATCAACACAAAATACAAGAAAAAGCCCTACCATAGAGATTACTGGAGGCTCAGCAACAGGTTGTAACAAAGTGTACAAACTAGAAGAAACAGGGAACAAAAAACACTATTATTTAAGACAATGTAACGTTTATTAACAGGTTTAATCCTCGTCCTCCTCCTGAGCAGCACCGCCAGTTCCCTTGCGAGAGTTCTTCCTCTTTACACGGCCAGGACGTCCACCACCGAACGGAGACTTGAGAGAGAAGTCAATGTGCTTCTGAGAGTCGAGACGGACAACAAAACTGGGGATGTTAACCACCTGCTTGCGAACTCTGTGGACCGCAGAACAATGTTAAACACACCATTAAAATGACAAAAAATTGGGAATAATTTTACCTCAAACAAACCTAAGGTTTTCTGTCTCACCACCAATTATTGAGGCGTGATCAGTCAACGAAAGTCATTTGACCCTTTTCTGTATTTAAAAACCCTTGTGATCCTTTTATCAGGTAAGCTAGCTAGCCTCTTAAATTACAAAAAGCCCAATATATATGTTGGACCAATTTTACAGTTGAAGACAACTTAATCAGATTGATCGCTGAGCCAGTTTGAGATAACCTTTTGCAGTCAGATGTCTACTGCTAGTTTTGAATTGTTTTTAACACTCAGATGACAAGCACCACTGGCTACCATATTGCTTATTGAGTCTCTATTCATCTACATACTTTAAAGAAAGAGAAATTAGAGATTTCTAAACGTACTTGCGAGTGTAATACATTTTTAAATCAACTTTTGCAATTTTAAGCGAAGAATTAAGTAAAATTTTGTTTATAATCAAAACGTTGGTCACAAGTTCCCAATGTTCTCGAAATAATGCCAAAGTGGGATTAACCTCGGAGTTTTTATCGCCTTGGACAATTAAAAAGGATCTTAAAGATCTTTTTATGCCTAGAAATCAAAGGCTCTTAATCAAAAGACTTATTTACTACTCGAGACTATTTCTTTAATAAAAGAGAAAATTATATAGGCCTAGGTATTAGGTTAGTTAATTAGTGAAGGTAGTGAGTGTAAAAAATGCCACCAAGCGAACTGATATTAAGGAGCCTATAAGAGGAATATGAAATAATGGATTATAAAGATATTTTCAACTCGCACAAAGTGTCCAAGTGAACCGTATATGTGATAACTAGTAGTATGGTTTTGTTGTTAATATTTAGTGGTCAAAAGTCTATTTATTAAGTTACGAATATTACAACAGCTTATAGAATGCATGTAACAAGAGTCATGAATCACTTTTGGAATTGATCCAGAGTGGGATTAACCTCTGAATTTATGTTGCCCCAAACGATTAGAACGAAGACTAAAAAGCCTTCTTCTTGCCCAGTGATTTGAGGCCTTCATCGTTGAAATACAAATATGAATGGATTGATTTTCAGGAAACAATTTAATCCTAAACGTCTGCGAGGACTATATGTCTCAACTAATACCATTATCTCACCTCTAAAAATGTTAATTGAAATAGTATGTTTTAATTGTTTAGATAGGTAATTGATCGCCACATATCAAATGACATGAGAGCTAATGCATGTATCAAGAGTCATGAATCACTTTTGGAATTGTTCCATAGTGGGATTAACCTCTGAATTTATGTTGCCCCAAACGATTAGAACGCAGACTAAAAAGCCTTCTTCTTGCCCAGTGATTTGAGGCCTTTGTCGTTAAAATACAAATATGAATGGATTGATTTATAAGAAACAATTTGACTCCTTCAAATGTCTAAAAAGCCTAATACCATTATCTCACCTATCAAAATTTGAATTGAAATAGTGTGCATTGGTTGATAATTAATTAATAGATCGCCACATAATAATTTTATAAAGTTATTAAAAATAAATGACAGCAAATGCATGTATCAGAGCCATGAATCACTTTTGGAATTGTTCCAAAGTGGGATTAACCTCTGAATTTATGTCGCCCCAAACGATTAGAACGCAGACTAAAAAGCCTTCTTCTTGCCCAGTGATTTGAGGCCTTCATCGTTGAAATACAAGTATGAATGGATTGATTTAGAAGAAACAATTTGGGTCCGCGGAATTGGCTAACTCTGGAACTCGCTAACCCCATGTTAAACGCCCTATCTTCAAATTTGGTCGATGAGAGGAATTCGCTAACTTGTTCGGTTTTGGAATTGGCTAACTCCGGAACCCGCTAACCCACTCTAGAGCCAGGTTAGCGAATTCCGTCCTCGTACGGAAGTCGCTAACTCGGTCCCTCGGTGGAACTCGCTAACTCCCAATCAGAAGCCTCGCGTGCTGTCCAATAGGAACCAAGCACGAAGATTTTTGGCCAGTGTTGCCGAAAGGGTATTACCTATGATCGTATCGGTACCATAATGTCGTATTCTACGAATAATTAGGAGTAAGAGCAATGTAGTTGATAAAATAAATATATTTAGAAGTATGTTTAATATTATTCTTATGATTATTAGGGTAGAAAATGCATTATAGTCTTACCATAGACTAACCAAAACAAGTAAACTTTACATCCCATTGTAAACTTTGAAGCTCGTTTTTCATGTCTAGTTCATGTCCGGTGACACTGATCGCTAGTGTCGACGAAATTGTGTTTATATTATTTTATAGCTAACTTCATGGTTTGTTCTTTACTGTTTGGTTATATAACTAGGGGACGTGTTATTAGTTATGATTAGAATGATTTATTTGGTTAGACGAGGTTTTTAATGACTGAAAACAAGAAACAATTGTAAACAAAACACGACCTCTAAAGACATTGCACCGGACAGAACTAACGATAAAACTGACTTCAGCTGATCCATAAGGATGAGAATTGTACTAATATAAGGGAGTATGTTTTATATATGGTTTTCTTACTTTAATAGTAGTTTATTGGGATGCAAAAAGATAGTACTGTACATTTAATTATGATATTTTACATGTTATGAAATATTTATTCTCGTAGTCCACCATTTGTTTCTTTTATAGGAATAACCATTTTGTGATCTTCTTAAAATAAAATGATTAAGTTCGTATTTTGTATACTAGGCTTGTAACCTTGAATGCTTGTCCTTGATAGGTTAATATTTGACTCTTTAAAGGCCTACATTAATTAATTAACGCAAATCAAAAACGTTAACAATGTATTACAATATTTGCGTCTTTACTTTAGTCAAGAATAGGAATTTAAATGTTCTTACATTATGTTGTTAGGAAACATATAATCTATTAACAAAAATTGAAGCAGTATTGTAATAGTATATCCTATTCGAGGCAACCAACAAATAGACATTAAAAAAAAATCTACAGTAATTGCCATAGACTTTATGCCTATAATTTTGAGGATTACCTTCCCGATCAAATTTACACGTTAAACGTCATTACGGAACTACATTGTAGTGCTAATATCTTTTTAAATAGAGCTATTGAATCTAAATAAATATTAATCAATACATTATAAAGTGGTAATGTATTCATGGATTGCATTAAAAATTAGTCTATTCATAAATACAATTTGTAAATTAATGTTGTCATAGGCTATTAGTGTAGATCCTTGTTGTCCTCTTAATTAATATTAATTTTACGTCTAAAGTCTGGAGTTTTTATGGTTCTAAATGAATCCATCAGGCGTTCTTGTTTGTTACCATTTTAATGAATGGTGGCCATAGCTAAAATTACCTGATCTTATCCAACAACAAAGCTATTGTCTATTGAGTGGCTCAGTACCGGGGAACGGGGAACCGAGCATGGCTTGGTAGTTTATTTCGATTGTAAAAGCAATATGAAACCCAACACTAAAAAAGGGAAAATCCGACAAGTCATTGATTAAGAATCGTGAATTAAAATAACCCTGTCACGTTTTAATATAAGAATATTATATCTTCTCCTATTATTTACTAGTGGGGCTTAGGTGTACAATCTAAAAACTATTTTAAAAGTTGTAACATTATTACTAAAAAGTTCAACACACTTTGGTATGCAAATTTTTACTAATAGGCCTACAATGCACTACACTTTGGTTTCAACTATTAGGCCTAGATTTAGACCTACAGCTATTCTATAAATTGATATGAAACGTAGTCTATGTTATATTATTACACGTAAATTGGACGATTCAACGACAAACCTTCAATTTTAAATCTATGAATTAGTTATGAAAGTTACGATGGTTGATGACTGTATTAATGGTTTTCGTTTATTACATTACGATAAACTTTATTTCCGTGTTTGAGAACTTGCGTGTATTTTAGCTTAATTTCGTAGAGGTTAAACTGTTTAGTACCAATTAAACTGAACGTTCAATGTTTTTCATATTATTTTCTTATAATACTTATGGCATTTATATTTAAGATCGAAATCATAAACATTTTATTGGCCGTTGTACAGTTAAAAAATAACCTTTATCATGATTTTTTTAATTGCATTTTAATTATTTTTGGCTAGTTAGCTGTTAAAAGTAGAACGTATAGCAAAAAACAATAACATTTACTGTATCTTCATTGATACTGACATTTTGAAATACGGCAGTGTACGATTATTTCGTCGTACAAGGTTGGCAACGCTCCGTGCAGTGGGCGCTGCCGGGTTAGCGACTTCCAGAGTTAGCGAATTCCGCCGCGAGACAAAATCGAGTTAGCGGGTTCCGGAGTTAGCCAATTCCTGACTGAGACGGTTAGCCGGTTCCTGAGTTAGCCAGTTCCGACACACGACCGAGTTAGCGAGTTCCTGAGTTAGCCAATTCCTACGTCTCAACAATTTCACTCCTTCCAATGTCTAAAAGGACTAAATATCTGGCCTAATACCATCATCTCACATATCGAAATATGAATTGAAATAGTGTGCATTTGTTGATAATTAATAGATCGCCACATATGATTTGAGGCCTTCATCGTTGAAATACAAATATGAATGGATTGATTTTGAGGAAACAATTTTACTCCTTCAAATGTCTAAAAGGACTAACTGGCCTACCATTATCTCACCTCTGAAAATTTGAATTGAAATAGTATGTTTTAATTGTTAGATGATTAATTGATCACCGCATATCAAATGAAATGACAGCTAATGCATGTATCAGAGTCATGAATCACTTTTGGAATAGTTCCAAAGTGGGATTAACCTCTGAATTTATGTCGCCCCAAACGATTAGAACAAAGACTAATAAGCCTTTTTCTTGCCCAGTAATTTGAGGCTTGAATGATTGAAACAATGATTGCATATAAAACATATTGAAGCCTATCGATTCTCCGTACTTTCAGATCATAATTCAACGAATCAAGAGCGCAAGAGAGAGGTAAATATGAAAATATATCATGTCATCGACCGGAATATTCTGTATATTTTTGCTGCACTTCTGGAAAGCTTACTAGTTGAGTAAAGTACTGTAAAGTTTTGAATGGTTGTCATTGATCAAGGACTTTTAACAGTAGACATCATAGTAATTGACTAATGAAATCAAACCTGTACATTTTCAATACTATTTTCTATCTTCAGTATGAGAAGGGTGTTCAAATGTATGTAGATGGTTTAACAGTAGCATTATTGTAGCATAATTGTTGTGTATCTATGACATGAATCACTGTGGACATTATGACCAAGTGGGATTAACCATAGAAGTTGTTATAGCATCTGAAGATTGAGGTCAAGACAAGTAAGTGATTCCTCTGCCCAGTTATCAGAGGCAGTAAGTTATAGAAAAGACCAATCATCGGGTTTAACCTCTAAGAGGTTATGTTAATTTTACTCAGAGTGTGCACACTTTAACCACAGAAAACATACTACTATAACCCAGAATGCTAACCGCATGGTAAAAAGCTTTAAGTACTCGGAGAGAAATTTTCCTGTCAATTTGAAGGGAGCGCCACCAGCATAAAATGCACCAGCATAGCAACGCTGGTGGCGCTGCCTACGAATTGAGAGGCTCTCTCCGAGAACTTAACGCTTGCAGTTAGCATTCTGGGTTATAGTAGTATGTTTTCCGTGCTTTAACTTAAACCCATTTGTCCGCTTCAACTTGTTTTTCCAGAGTTAAAAAATCTCTTGGAAAATGTTATCAAATTGTAGACTTTGTTCTTGTGATGTATTACCTCATCAAATGGCTTGTAAGCCACTAGTTTCGGGGCGTTGCGGGGAGTCTAACCCCGCAAGTGGCCCTTGCGAAACTCACTCTTATTGGAGCGTAACAGACATTGGGAGAGTATGTCATCTCACACCATATCAGCTCCTGAGCATGTACAATATTTAAGTGATTATGGTTTAGAATTACACCATTATCGACTACTGAGCATACAATTACAAGGTTGTGAATGAAACTGGATGGCTCAACTCTAAGTTTAAAAAATGGTGCCATGATATTGTCTATATTTAAAAGTGTTGCGGCCAAATTATTAAGTCATAAAACAGTGTTTTTAATATTTATTTATTATTTAACTTGAAATGTATCGTCATATCTATGTTGATGACACTACAGAAGTTATAATCACGTTGGTTTTTGAAAAACTATTTTTGGATGATAAATTAACTATTCAGCAGCTGTTTGAAACTATCCAAGATGGCCGCTAGCCTCCAAGGACTCTCTTAACATGTAGGCCTGGATCCGAATTAAAAAATTGAATCCAGTTCCAGTAGAAACTTTGATTCACTTTGAACCATTCAGAGGGAAAGGGCACTTTTAATCCAAGGTCAAAAGTAATAAAACGATAGCCTAAATAATTACCGAATGTGTCGCTGCCTGATGAGTACTCGAGCGTGATGGATAGACTTGGCCAACCCCAGCTTGAACACCTGTTAAGAGAAAGTGAAGAATAAATTAGTTAAATAAAAACTTAACACAGACATTAGGTTAACATTGCATTTCTAGGTTTTTGTCAGGTATTAGTCCGCCACTATGTCCCCTCAGATTGATAAATTCTTTAGTGCAATAATTGATGGGCTGTATTGGTTTAGGATTATAGGCTGTAGGCCTATTAAGAGTTCAGATGATTGAAGGCGTTCTAATGCTAAGTGCTGTCTGTAATTCACAGACTGACACAAGACAATGCAAGATAAAATTCCAATTCAATAAACCAGTTTTTGTGACTTCAGTTGTTTGGCTGCCATTATAAAATTGCAATAGGACAAAAAAAACACAATATATTTTCATCAGTAGAGGCTATACCAAATGTTTTGCAATGAAGCATACAAGCAAATTTAAATAGTTGGAAGAGGAGAGGTTTTTTTTTATTTTTTATTTCAGCAAATTGTTTCATGTTAAATTAAAACAATTAAGTTAGAACAATTCTCGCATGTATTTTTAACTAACCTGTGTCTGCAGTCTCCTCTCCAAAAAGTCCTCGATCTTGAGACCAAGAACGTAATCAAGCTTCATCCTGCCCTCATCCAACACTCCAATACGCACGAGACGACGCAGCAGAGCATTGCCTGAAACAGAGGGGAAGTTAGATTTAAGCCAACAGATAACTTCAAAATAGACCTACAATTATTTTTGGTCGGTAGGCCTACCTTTAGGGGAACTAACTTATTTTATCAACTGATTTATGTGACGTTGTGTTTAAGACATATTTCCACTAGCCTAAGCAATTTTAAATTAAATGATGTCGAACAACTCAACATATCAATAGGCTGAAGTTTTGACATGCATCTCATTTTCAATTGAACAGCTGAATTTCAAGGGTTTGACACTTTTAACAAATAAATTAACAATCCTAACATTAACTGATCTTACCGTTGAACAGCCTACGTTGATCTTTCTCTTCAAGAGTGAGCAATTCTCGAGCAGCCTTACGTATCTTGGCCAGAGTGTACTTGACTCTCCACACCTCACGCTTGTTACGCAGTCCGTACTCTCCAATAATCTTCAGCTCCTGATCCAAACGAGCCTTTTCATAAGGACGACGCGGCGTCACATACGTCTTACTGTGAACGGACGGGATGCGGCCGTTCACCATTTTGCTTCAGTATACTGCAAAAGTACAGATCAAGGTAAGAAAATAGTTTGAGAAACCAAGTAGGCTAGTATGAGTGGTATTTGGGGCAATCAAATATTTGTGCGTTTACACAATGTATGGGTATGATAGCATGCTAAAGGAGCATTGAGAGTCGGCCCTGTAGTACCTATTATGTGTAAAGGTCCACATATTACTTATCACTGATTACATTTTGCTGTGCCAACTAGGCTTATCTTAACACTTAAATTGAAATTAATTGTTTCAATTAACATTAATTTGAATTTAGTTTCCGTTTTGTATTTCTTGGCTATAACAGTAGGGCTACGAAATTTAACATAATGATTTAAATTATTGACTCAATTTTCCAAACCACGTCAGATGATATTGAATGTTGATGTTAGCAAGTGATTTTGGATAAGTTAATTTATCAAAGCAAATCCAATTTTCATTACCAAGTTAAATAACAAATTGTTTAGTTTGCAAGAATCTTTTGAGTAGCCTACGTTGGACCACTTTTTTACAAGAGAAAGGTTGTGTGAACTAAGTAGCATTAGGAAATAGCTTATAAGTGTCAATTCATTAAACTTATATTTAAGGCTTTTTCTTGGCTCTTTTTTAATCTCAGAAAGGTATTGTCATACAGCATGACGCTATGGATATCAATACGTAAATTTAACGTACAAAGGAATTGTATTGTAAGGTATCGTCATACAGTGTGACGCTAAGGGTATCAATACGTAAATTTGACACATACTGTCGGCCATTATACTATACACAAGACAGCCATTTTACAATACACAAAGGGTATTGACACGTAATCTTGATGTATGCGTTCCAAGAAACTGACTAGCAAGTGCATAAAGAAACACACTACTACCCAACCAAGGCAGCCATCAACTAAGCAAATTACTACTGAAAGCACTGCTGGAAGGAGGGTAGTGTCGGTTGAGGGAGTGCGGGGTGGGACGCTAAAAATTACTCGCCTTACGTCAAATTTACGTGCGATACCCATCTAGGGTTAATCCTAGCAGTGGCCAACAATCGTAATACGCTCGTATGCCATTACGCCTAAAATGGCCACCAACGTATTACGATAGTATGGGCCAAATTTTTTTTTTATGGTAAAAAGAACTGCTTATAATCAACTCTAATGTGAGCAATACCTATATAGGCTATACCATTTGAAAGATCACATTCTGATCTTTATTTTATTATAAAAATAAACGCTGTCGCAGGTATATATAACAATGTCACAACTATTAGGAATCAAATGAATTTTTATTGTGGCACGACTTTTGCAGCTGACACTTGGGAAATGTCAAAACACAACTTGTTTGGCATTGCCATGCTGGGGTAATTTTCGTCTTGGGATGTTGCTGGTGATACCACTGGATAGTCATTGATTTTATCTTCATTAGAGTATTGATATTTAGAAGGATGATGTACAAGAGATGAGAATAAAGTAGTTATGAATTGAATTGAATTGAAAAGGATATATTGATTGCACAACAGATACGATTTTATGAAAACAGCAGTTTTCGAAATTCATAACAAATTGCCAACCATCGTAATACACTAGTACGGAAAATACAAATTACATAGGTAGGTACAGTGTAAGTTATTATTAGGCTACTAAGTTTTAGTGATGTGACGAGTTTAGTTGACGAGTCGAGTTGGCTCGAGTCAAGACCCGACTCGAGTCATCTCATTCACAACTCAAGTTGGTACGAACTCGTACGGAAATTGCCGAAGCCACACAAACTCGGAACGTAACGAGTCCGACTCGCAAAACTTAAAAGCTTCACAGCGAGTCAAGAAACCGAACTCATACGGAGAAAGCCGAACCTTTACGAACTCAGGACGTAACGAGTTGACTCGCAAAACGTATACGCTTTTGGCTGAATGCGAGTTGAGCTGACTCGCCAAACTATAACCCTATTCGCTGCGAGTCGACCCGAACTAGACCGATGGAAGCCCAAGTTTCACGATGATTAACTTATTTCCGTTTTCTCTCAGGAAGACGACGAAAAAGCGTCACTATTGTCAAGGTCTCATACACGAAGTGCCTTGTTTCGCCACTGAGTGTTGTTCCTGGTGAGCTTTCGCTCAAGTTAACGTACCCGGTTTATTACTTAATTCGTTATAATTTCATATTGTAGGAGAGATCGTATTCTTTGAGATAACTGTAACTGGAAATATCAATAATCGAGCAATTTGGCATTTATCAGGGCAGGGTGGTCCTACACTACAGTAAATTCCACCTCCACAATGAAGATATGAGATTAAGCATTCACTTTAGAAATTAGCCTTAGCCTTAGTATTTTAATCTACACTAGGCTAGTCTAAGTTATTAAAATCCAACAAACCTAGGTTGGGTACAGTCTCTTAGGCCTAGGTAAAAGGTGGCCTTAACACGTTCGCGGCGGCACGTCAAATGGAATGGCGGGCGTATCCCCAGTGCGATCGCACCCACCAGGATGGCATTAGGGTTCCGTACAGTATGGGAGCGATCGCTCCCATGCCGCCGCGAACGTGTTAACCCTCCCAGTGTTACTTGACGAAAATTCGGCAAGCACCACACTTTGTATAGTGTTACTTGCCGATTTTTCGACAAGCAGACATCGTTTACGGCGAAGGCTCTATAACTGACTGAATCGGATTGAACTGGATCGAGTTAGGTATCGTTCTTTCCGTAATATTCTAAGCTTTCTGCAGAGGTCTGTCTCTAAGCGCTATTCATTTTAGTTCCGAAAATATTGTAGCAGACAGCTGACGTGCGTGTATTTGTAAACAGCTAGGTTCCCCCGGACCGATGACTGATGTGTTTTATTACGTTTATCATTGTTTTAGTGTTAAAAATCAAAAGTAGTGATATACGTGGTGCATTATAAGAAGATTTAAGTGGTTTTGAAGTGCTGGTTGATGATCCTGAAGAAGTAGGTAGTGATATTGATGTAAATTATCAGCCAGATTCCTAGCTATGGTTAGGCTATGCATTCTTAGCTAAACGCTATGTACTGAAATCAGTTTTTTGCCCATAACTTATTTATTTGCAAATATACTTCCTTATATTATTATATATTTGTAATCCTCATAAAATTTAGAACAAAGTGGCTATTTTCAAATATTTATAGGCCTATAATTTATACAATTTCATTGAGCGCGAACTTATTTTTTTTTGAAAATTTTCGAAATTATATTTTTTTTTACCTAAAAATTTTCTTTTTGAAAAAATGTTCCTTATGTTTTATATATAATATTGAAGCCCATGATTTTCCAAACAAAATGGTATATAGAACATTAGAATTAACATCGTTTTAAGCTTCTCAGATCCGTTTTAATAAAACCTTGCAAATGAGCAAAAATAGGTGGACATTAAGGCCTAAACTATGGACACTTGGAGGGTTAAGCGTGGCCCAGGAGTTACACGAGTTTAGATTTTAGAGATTTTACAACATTAACTAGGCTAGGCACATATTTTAAGTGTTTGGAGTTAAAAATACTTAAATAATAGTCTTCAGGAGCTTTCATCAGATCACACGTGAAGGGAACCTAGCCTAGGCTTTGTCTAAGCTAACTTAATCCAACCTAATCTTGAAATTACGATTGTATTTTCAATGGAAATAAAAGTTTTCCACAAGTAAATCTTACGAATAATTAGACATATATATTTAAGAAGACACATGATAAAATTACCTAATTGTAGAGAAATAGAGCAATTACAGTTACAGTGAACTAGCCTTACCTCTAACCAACGTGAGAATGAAAGAGAAACTTAGGCGGAAAAGAGAACAATAAGAAGCTATTTGTGTAACATAGAGGTATAACAGAATGTGGCAAATGGCTAATAAGGACAATAAAGAATAAAAATTCGATAGTACTATAAAAAGTGAAAATCAAGGATGCAGAAACAAGATTCCCAACTTGTAAAAAGTGTTTCGAGTATTCAACAATTTGAGAAATTAAAGAGTTTGTGAAATGCACAGTCCTTTTAGCGAACTTCCCTATAGTCTAACGAACGGTTTATCTATGATATTACAATTTTCAATTTCTTTACCTATTCATTGAAAAGTTTACATAATACAGCATTTGAGTAGTGTCAAAGATTACAATTATTAAAACATAAAATACAGATTAAAAATAAATTTTAAATTAAAAAATACATCTCCCCATACAGATGCATTCTTAATATCTAGTATTCTTGAGGGAGGTGGAAAAAATCTTCTTGAGAATAAATGTCCATGTTTATTAAGAAATATTTTTGTTTTGTTTTAAACTTTTTTGGATCTTTTTCATTTCTAATTCCTCCCCGTTTAAAAACACTTTTACCAGCAAATGATGGCTTTTTTCATAAAACTTTAATCTGTGCCTATTTTGTAAAATCTGATTTTTTTCTCGTTTCATATCGGTGAACCGGTAGATTGGATACATCGGATGAGGTTTTATTTTTAAAAATTAAAATTGAATCATAAATATATTGCCCATAAACAGTTAGTATGTTTAGCTGTTTAAAGAGCTCTTTTGCCGAGACATCAGAATTTAGTCTGAGCATTACTCTCACTGCTCTTTTTTTTATGTTTAAATATTTTATCTAGAGATTGATTTGAGTCGTTGCTCCATATAGACAGATACCAAAGGAAATATGTGAATGGATATAATGCAAAGTAAATGTTTTTTTCAAAGTTTTGACATCACAGTACACCAGACATTTTAGAAAGGGTAAAATTTCCAAAGTTGATTTTTTAAACAATTTTTTTTTTTTTGTATGATCATTCCAATTCAAATTTTGATCTATTGTTAGATTTAGACCATTAGATCCATTAGAATTTTTATTTTGTGGTGTTTTAAAATGTGATAAAATTTGTTTTTTTTATTTAATTTTAGGTTTTGGCACACCAGATAACTTACCTTAAAACCCATAGATAAAACATAGTGTACTCCCTTTGGTCTAAAAAACCATAGACTATAAAAATAAAACATACCCCCTTAATAGATTTCTGATCTTTAAGGAACAGCAGCTTAAGCAAATAATGTTATTGTTATAGTTATGTCCGGTGTACTGCAAAGGTCGTGTCTTGTTTACAATTTGTTAGTTTTATTTCAGTAATTTAAAACCTTGTTCAACCAAATAAAACAATAATCATACACAATAACTCGTATCCTAGTTATTTAACCAAACAGAAAAGCACAAATCATTAAATTAACCCTAAAATAATAGAAACTAAATGTCGTCGGACCAGCAATTGGTGTCACCGGTCATGAACTAGACGGTGCCGTGTTTCCCCCGGACGTGTTTGAGGCGGACAGTGCGTGAGGCGGACAAAACTGGTTCGGGTGGGTAATTGAGCGGACGTCTCCCTGCATCTACCCGGCTCGCGGGGAATCCCCGTTACCGAATCGTCCGAGGAATTATCGCGTTTTGCCTCCCAGCGCCCAGTTCTTTCAAACACACCTAAACTACCGAAGCAATAAAGCTCTGATTTTGTAGGAATAGCTAAGAGACTATGTTTTATCTATAATTTCTAATAACCCAATTACAAGTACCTAACACGTAGGCCTAGTCACCTCTGGTTACTCCCCGTGGACGTCCAAATTTTTAATGTTAACATTTTAGAAGGGTTAGACAAATCTTTAAACTCTAAAATGCTGTGGAATCTTCAATTTAAATTTAAGACGTGAATAGGTCTATGTGTTAATTTAGGATTTGTTGATTTATATGTTCAGGGTTTGGCGTTACCGTACTCATCTAAAATGTCGACACGTTTAACACGTGCCGCGGTCATTGCCACAGACCGAAGTATACATTTGCATCTTACACATAGACCGGCTGTCACTTGGATAACAGTACACACAGACCACGGGCAAAACCCTGTAAAACAGTGATCATTTACATTGTAATACGCTACAATTGTGTTTGTGAATAATTTATTCTTGGCTGTTTTTTGTTTGTACTTTTTATAACCTTACACCTAAACCTTTTTATACGGAAATTGAGATACACGCGTTTTGGCTTTCCTATCGTAATACTCGTTCCATACGATGAAACTAACCGAAACATTTATGATTCTAAGCAGTGTACAGACAAAACTCTAATTTTAGCGAATTTCCTATATAGGGACTAAGCAAAAATTCACCGTAGGTCTCATGGTAAGACACATGTAACACATGGTAAGACTAGACCCGGAACCGATTTACGTTATCGTTTTGAGGATAACTAGAGCAAAAATGATCCGATTTTGATGACATTTTGGCACAAACGTGTAAACCTACGTTTATTCGAACGAGTTTGCTAACCAGTTTTATGGGGTGAAAATTGATTTTTCCTATTTTTGACCCCAAAACACAATTTGTTTTTAAATTTCTCTCCAAACCATATTGTAGAGCTTAAAAAATAAATAATTTTGTACTCGTATATTGAAGAGTTGTTGTATGCCCAACGGTTTGGAGATAATTTTAAAAATTGTAAATTTAACATTCCCATGTTATTCTTATGGAGGATAAATAAACTGTTGTAGTTTGATTGTTTATGGATATATTTTAATCAAATTTGGCAATTTCGTTTATTTCATACTAAGCTATCAACATAGTTATCAACATTTCAATAAAAATCACACCTCAATATCTTTCCCGTAGCAGCAAACCTAAGTACTCACTAAATTTAATGTTATTTAGAAATAGGAAATAAATCTGACAATTTTGTGGGAATATTTTAGTAAAAATCGAACGAACCGGGTAAATGGAAATTCGCTTAGACTGCAGGCTTGCTGCGGCGGGGGTATTATTTACATAGATTTTTTGTTCTTGTGTCACTGAATAGTATTCACAGCATTTGTCAGCAACATCAATTTCTGTGTTTTCAAAATATACTGAACTAATAAGTAAACAATTGAAACATAATTCAAAGATTTGAATATAGTCGAGTAAATCCGTAAGACAACCCTAAGAAAATTGCTTTAAATTGTTTAATTGGTTATTTTGACTAAGAATTGTGTGCATTTACTAGGGAAACGGTATAAAGAAATCGGAGTCTCGGAAGTCCAAAATTAAAGATGGCGTACACGATTTTGGCAAATACTTGTATACTATTCATTCAAAAATTTGTTTTTTATTTATGAGTAATTTTGCTTGAAACAATCATTGTTGGGGAGAGTGTATCTAATTCATCTGTTGTGTGTCTTTATATTTATGTTTTTAGAAGATAGTTACGTTTCTAAATTTCAAATATTGTCAAACATCTAGAGTTGTTTACGATCGCATAAACCACTCATTCGTTCTGCTAGGGCAAGTCGGCTTCTTAACAAAGCAGTTGAGACCGTCCTTCTGCGTAAAGAACTAATACGGTCACATAAACTCCCTTTCTATTTGTCTTTAGAATTGCTATCTAGGACCGTGGGTTAAGGGTGTTCTGTGGTCAATATGATTAGTAGGGTCTAGCCTAGAGATTGTCGTGTTCGGCCGAGTAACATTGCTTTCTTTCAGCTTCATAATATTCTTAAATTCACATTTAGTTTACAACCAAATCAGTTTCGATATAGAAATTCATTTATTGTAGTTTCACTATACAGTCCACTGATACAATTTGTTCATATTTACATCAATAAAATCATAGTTCAGTTAAAAGTGTTAGTTTTTATTATTACCAAAATATTGGCGCATCACGCGTGCCGCAGCAATTATTAATAGGTGTGAAAATAAAGAACATAAGCTAAAGTTCAACATACCTATTTTATTTACAAATATCACTAGTGGCTTGTAAGGACATAAGTCCCTAAAAAACTGAATAATTGACAAATTATTTTAATATTTAAAAAATCTCATAAATATGTTATCAATGTGTCAGAATAGATTTCCCCGTACACCATATCTTTTGTGTAAAAAAAAACATTTTGGTGTTTTGCCTTTGTTTGCTTTTGTTAATGTTATACGGTGTTGTGAGTCATGAAAATATATTTATTATCAATAAATAATTTGAATCACTCCATAAGTTTAACTCTGCTAAAGGCAGCAAACATATAATTCATATAATTCATTCAATTCAATTGATTCATTTATTTAGAAAAAATAAACATTACATATACTTTTTACATTAAATAATCTGAAATCAGGTCCCTATGAAGCAAAGCTTCAGTGCAGGGACCGAGTCACAAACATCTTCCACCATGCCCATAAACCATATACTTAAAATGTTCGTAATGACGAGAAACCTTGTGCAAAACTATCCATTATTTCATAAATTGCCCTTTAAGGTCGTAATTCTTTTCTAAAGGAAACTTTCCATTTACCTAATGTTAAAATACCTCAGCTGTACTTATTTGTTTGTATTACTTTATTCTGTTTTGTTTATTTCAGCCCAACTTAACCAATCAATAATGCTATTAAACTTATGAACTCAAACGGGGCGAAGCCCGTGGGTAACAGCTAGTTATTACAAAGAACATTTAACGTTACATGTCGTTTTCTTGTAACTTTATGGAAATTCTGCTATTTTTCCTGAGTCCTTGGGGTCAAGACCTTTAATTTAAGACCCCTCCCACGTTTCTGCAACTTACCAGACGTTCACAATTTTAGGGTAAAAATTTTGTCTTACAGAATTATATATAAGGATATTTATGACGGCAACCTTATCCTAACCTACATTAATTTTGTATTTAAAATAACGGCCTTATAGTCTAGTCAAGTGGGTTTTTAAAAGGGCTTGAAGTGGAAAGTTCATAGGTAATTGTTTTTTAAGGCTTACTTTATATTTTTGGAGGTTCTGAACACGAACCTGAAGTTGTCCAACAAAATGTCTTTCGGCAAATAGAAG